TAATCTGTGTCTTCTCTATTTTTTTCTTGGTTAGCCTGACTGGATGTTTATCAATTTTACTTATCTTTTCGAAGAACCAGATTTGGTTTTGTAGATTTTTCTCTATTGATGTCCTGTTTTCAATTTCATTGATTTCTGTTCTGATTTTTATTAATTCTTTTCTTCTGCTTGCTTTAGATTTATATTGCTCCTCTTTCTCTAGTTTCCTAAGGTGGAAGCTTAAATTATTGATTTTAGATCTTTCTTCTTTTTTAATATAAGCATTCAATGTTATAAATTTCCCTCTAAGCACTGTTTTCACAGCTTCCCACAAATTTTGATGAGTTGTATAAATATTTTCATTTAGTTGAAATATTTTTTAATTCCTCCTAAGACTTCTCTTTTCTTTGACCCATGTGTTATTTAGAAGCGTGTTGTTTAATCTCCAAATATTTTGGGATTCTCAAGCTATCTTTCTGCTGTTGATTTCTAGTTTAACTCCATTGTGATCCAGCAGCATACTTCATGTGATTTCTATTCTTTCAAATTTGTTAAAGTGTGTTTTATGGCCCAGAATGGCATCTATTTTTCTGAATGTTCCCTGTGAGCTTGAGAAGAATGTGTATTCCACTGTTGTCGGATGAAGTATTCTATAAATATCAATTAGATTAAGTTGCCTGATGGTGTGGGTCAGCTCAACCATATCCTTATTGATTTTCTGCCTGCTGGATCTGTCAATTATTGGTAAAGGGATCTTGAAGCCTCCAACTATAATCATGGATTTGTCTATTTCTCCTTACAGGTCTATCAATTTTTGCCTCACATATTTTGACATTTTGTGGTTAGGCAGATACACATTAAGGATTGTTATATTTTCTTGGAGAATTGACCCCTTTATCATCATGTAATGCCCTCTTTATCGCTGATCATTTTCTTTGTTCTGAAATTTGCCTGTCTGAAATTGACATAGCTACTCCAGCTTTCTTTTGATTTATGTTAGTATGTCATATATTTCTCTATCCCTTTACATTTAATCTATCTGTGTCTTACATTTAAAGTGAGTTTCGGGCCGGCCCTGTGGCTTGGTGGTTAAGTGTGCGTGCTGCAATGCTGGTGGCCCGGGTTCGGATCCCGGGTGCGCATCGAGGCACCACTTCTCCGTCCATCCTGAGGCCGAGTCCCACATACAGCAACTAGAAGGATGTGCAGCTGTGACATACAACTATCTACTGGGGCTTTGGGGGGAAAAAACAAAATAAATAAAATCTTTAAAAAAATAAATAAATAAATAAAGTGAGTTTCTTGTAGATAACTTAATAGTTGGGTCTTGTTTTTTTATCCACTCAGTCTTTTAATTGGCATATTTAGACCATTCACACTTAAAGTTATTATTGATATAGTTGGACTAATATCTATCATATATGTAACTGCTTTCTATTCATTATATTTGTTCTTTGTTTCTTTTTTTATCTTCTACTCTGTTTCTGCCTTCTCCGGTTTTTTTTTTTTTTTTTGAGGAAGATTAGCCTTGAGCTAACATCTGTTGCCAATCCTCCTCTTTTTTGCTGAGGAAGATTGGCCCTGGGCTAACATCCGTGCCCATCTTCCTCTACTTTATGTGGGATGCCGCCACAGCATGGCTTGACAAGCAGTGCGTAGGTCCGCGCCGGGGTCTGAACTTGCAAACCCTAGGCCGCTAAAGCAGAGTGTGGGAACTTAACTGCTACGCCACTGGGCCAGCCCCCTTCTCTCGTTTTAACTGAGCATTTTACATGATTCCATTTTCTCTCCTCAGTTAGTATATCAATTATATTTCTTTTTAACATATCTTTAGTGATAGCCCTAGAGTTTTCACTATACATTTACAACTAATCTAAATCTACTTTTGAATAACACTATATCATTTCATGAGTAGTGTAGGTATCTTAGAATATTCCCAATTCCTCCCTCCCATCCCTTATAACATTACTATAATACATTTCACTTATCCATAAGCTATAATCTCCCAATACATTTCTGCTATTATTACTTTGAAAAGTAATCAATTAGATCAATTTTGAATAAGAAAAATAAAAGATTTTACTTTACCTTCATTTATTCCTTCTCTAACACTCTTCCTTCCTTTATGTAAATCCAAGTTTCTGACCTATATTATTTTTTTCTTTCTGAAGAACTTCTTTTAACATTTTTTTCTTTCTGAAGAACTTCTTTTAACATTTCTTGCAAGGCAGGTCTACTGGCAACAAATGCCTTCAGTTTTTGTTGGCCTGAGAAGGTCTTTATTTCTTCTTCAGTTTTTGTTGACCTGAGAAGGTCTTTATTTCTTCTTCAGTTTTGAAGGATAATTTTGCTGGATATAGAATGCTAGATTGCTGGGGTTTTTATATTTCACTCCACTCTCTTCTTGCTTGAATGGTTTCTGAAGAGAAGTCAGATGTTTGGTGTCACTCATTAAAATTCTGGAAAATTCTCAGCCATTTTTACCAAATATTTCTTCTGCTCCTTTCTCACATTCTTCTCCTTCTGATATTCCTATTGTGTATATATTACACCTTTTGTAATTGTCCCACAGTTCTTGGATATTCTGTTCCTTTTTTTCCCCCCATTCTTTTCTCTCTATTAGTTTGGGAATTTTCTATTGCTATATCTTCAAGCTCACCGATTCTTTCCTTAGCTGTGTCCAGTCTACTGATGAGCCCACCAAAAGTGTTCATATCTGTTACAATGTGTTTTATTTCTAGCATTTCCTTTTGATTCTTTCTTAGAATTTTCATCTCTCTACTTATATTACTTATCTGTTCTTGCTAGTTGTCCACTTTTCCATTAGAACCTGAGAATTATTTCTCCTCTTGATACCGACCAATTCTAACACCAACTAGGTGTTCTAGAATTCAATTCAATTCTGCCACTAACTACCTGGAATTAGCATCAGACTTCACAGGTTTAAGGGCCCAGTCCCACAAGGCTGCCCTCACTTCAGACACCAGTCACAAATATTGGGTCCCCAGGTTACCCACACTTCTCTCTGCCTTGGCTACAAAGTTGGGAGTTCCCATGACCCCCACCTTAGGTTCAATAATTTGCTAGAATGACTCATAGTACTCAAGAAAGTGCTTTACTTACTATTACTGGTTTATTATAAAAGATATAACTCAGGAAGAGATTCATAGGGCAAGGTATGGGGAGGAGGGGCACAGAACTTCCATGCCCTCTCCCAGTGTGTCACCCTCCCAGTATCTCAACGTGTTCACCAACCCAGAAACTCTCCACACCCTGTTGTTTAGCGGTTTCTATGGAGGTTTCATCATGTAGGCATGATTGATTATTAACTCAATCTCTAGTCCCCTCTCTTCCCCAGAGGTTGGAGGATGAGGACTGAAAGTTCCAGACTTCATTGACTATAAGGTTTGTCTATCACTTCTATTACTCAGGAAATTACAAGCGATTTAGAAGCTCTGTGTCAGGAACTGAGGCCAAAGACCAAATAACTCTCTATGATACTGCAGAACCCTTACCATATTAATCATAGGGATTTTAAGTTCCTAGTCTAATAATTCCAAATTCTCTGCCACATCTTAGTCTTGTTCTCAAGGTTACCTTGTCTCTTTAGATTGTGTTTGTTCCTGCCTTTTAGCATGCATGTACTTTTTGTTGAAAACTGGGCATGATGTATCAGATAATGGGAGCTGAAGTAAATAATCCTTTAGCATGAGGTGTTATGTTTATCTGGCTAAGAGTTAGGCGGTGTTTGAGACCTCAGTTCACTGATGGATCAAAGAAGAGTTACCGATTTTCAGTTGGTTCAGCTTTTCTCTTGTTGCGAGGAATGGAGTTTCAATTTCTAAGCTCTTTATATCCTGGAGCGGACTGCATTTGCTTTTAAAAATCCTTTTCCTGACTATATAAGTAAAAATATTTACTTAGAAAATTTGGGAAGTAAAAAGAAAATAAAAATCACCTATAATCACCTAATCTACAATTAATCATAGTTAACATTTTGATATATTTCTATTTATTATATATAGGTTTATATAAAAGGGGGCATGTAGGGGCTGGCCCCATGGCATAGTGGTTGAGTTTGCCAGCTCCGCTTGGGCAGCCTGGGGTTCACCGGTTTGGATCTTGGGTGACCACCTACATACCACTCATCAGGCCATGCTGAGGCAGTGTCCCACATACAGCAACTAGAAGGATGTACAACTATGACATACAACTATCTACTGGGGATGTGGGGAGAAAAAAGGAGGAAGATTGGCAATAGATGTTAGCTCAGGGCCAATCTTCCTCAAAAAAAACAAAAGTATAACCTAGGTGGTTAGTGTATTTCATTTCTTCTCCTTCAAAAGGATTGTAACACTTCCATTTAAGTAGCTTTAATGTTTAAAATATGCATACATTTTACTGAAAGCTACCTTATATTCTATTTTGGAAATTGATAGGATATAAATAACAGGTAAACAAAATAATGACGGACTAATCTGTATTTTCTCCACCTACCCCGAACACGCTGATGGGTGGGGGACTGGAGGAGAGACCCACAGAGAAGGGGGTCGATATTTACAATATTTGCAAAGGCTTGCTCAGCCTGGCATTATACCAAGCCTTTATAACTCAATAGTAGCTATTTTTATCCCTGTTTTATGGATTGGAGAATTATGATCGGAGTGCTTTATACAGTGTCTAGTAAGTGGGACAGCCAGGAGAGAATCCATTCGCACATTCATTCATTCAACACGTTTTTATTGAGTTAATAAAGTGTGCCAGGCATTGTTCTAAATGCAAGCACTGTTCTAGCCCCCGAGGATGCTGCAGTAAACAAACAGCCAAAATCCCCTCTTTCTTCCCCCGTGGAGCTTACGTGGGGCGGGGGTGGGCGGCTGGGAGGTGTTAAGGGACCAACTCAATAAACGTCAGTCAATTGCACGATCCGGTGTCCCCGCCCCCGGCCCGCCCCAGCCCGCCCCGGCCCGCCTTCCCGGAGAGCTGCCGGAGGCCGGCGCTCGGGGCGCGTGCCCGCGCTGAGGACTTGGTCCGCCTGACCGGAGGGACCCCGGCGGTCGAGCCCTCCCGGGCGGAGTCCGCGGGCCGCCGCCCGGCCGCTGTGCCCGCCTTTGCCCCGCGCCCGAAGGAGGGGCTGCCAGCAGCGCGCATCCTGGCCGCGACCGCCCAACCCGGGAGCGGAGGGGCGGTGGCGGAGCCCGGCTCGCGGGGGGCCCGAGGCTAGCACCCCTGAAGGCAGCGGCGAGGCGACACTGCCAAGGTAACGGGGGGTGAGGGGGACAGGGGACGGGACCGCCAGTGCGGCTGAGCACCGGGGAAACGCCGCCTCCTGCAGCCGCTTCCCGGAATCCTCCTCCCGGACTCCTCCCCTCCCTCCTGTCTTCTCGGCCCCGGGCTCGGGCTCGCGCGCCACTGCCCGCCTCCCGGCTGCGCCCCCCGCCCCCGCAGCCGTGCGGGTCTTCCAGGGCCTCCGCCGGCAGACCCCCGCGGCCGCGCTGCCCCAGGCCCTGCCCAGCCCCTCCACTCATCGCCTCTCCCGGGAGCCCTCTTGCTTTGCTCTCAGCCCTGCACCCCACCTGCCCCACCACGGGTGCCTGGGACGCCCGGGCACTTGCCGCTGCCAGATGTGAGCCGCTGTGAAATTGGAGGGTCACATTCCTCAAGATCCTCTCCGCCTCGCAAAACTGGGTTACCCGCTCGGGCCTCCGGTTCGGGGTCTTTTGCCCGCCCTCCAAGAGAACACCCGGGATTAACCATCCTTTGTTCCTGTGCGGGAGAGGCTCACAGAGGGGCAGCCCGGGCTGGAGGGTCCTACGTCCTTCCAGATCCATCGCTTGCAAGCTGGAGGGAGGAGAGGGGAAGGGGACATCGTCGCGGTGACAGACGAGTGGGCTCCCCTCCAGGGTCGAGAGGGAATGAGGAACTGGGTGAGAATCGACGCTCTCAACCCAAGCAAATGAATCAGTTAACCCAGTTACGGTTGGATCCATCAGCCCACTTATATGGCCAACGATGGCGTTACTGAGAAACTCTAGATATCCCGCCTCCTTTTTTTTTCTTTTAATATTTGTTTGATTTCCTTTTGTTTGGCAAGAGGTCTTTGAAACTAATATAACATGCCTGAGGAGTCAGATCTGAGCGGGACGAGGTGGGAGGTGCAGAGGCAGGCACGGGGGTGGGGGTGGGGGGTCCGTCCCGTATCCCGGGTGTCATACTAACTGACTCTGGGGGCTAATATCCACAGGCTGTCCCCTGTCCCACACCTTGGCAAGGTTTGGAAGTATCCCACCCCTCCCCCGCTGTTCAGGCTTAGGGAGGGGAGAGGTGGGAGTGAGGTCATACCAAAATATGATCTAAGGAAAATATTTGGTAATCTTTCCTAGCAATTTGGGCATTGTTGATAAGGTTTGACCTGGTTGTCTCAGGAAATGACTTGAACTTTTAAGTTCCATAGTTTACAAGTTGTTTTTCAATTTTAGATTATCAAAAATCTGCATAGCTCTTTTGTTCTTAACTGTATTGTCTCAAGTTTCTCATGTATTCATTTAAAAGTTAAAGAAAATCTACCTGAGACTTGGTTCCTGTGATTTGACAAACAATATGTCTTAAAAAATATATATATAAGAACCATAGCCCAGAGGCACTGTCTTAGCAGTGAAACTTTTATTAAAATATATATTCCATCCCTCCTGTTTGCACGCAGAGAGCCACAGTGGCCTCATTTTCCTCTTACATTTATAAACCTTCCAGCTATCGAAGAGTCGATGGCATGTACTATATCTTTGACTATCTGTCATCATATTTTACCAAAACTAAAATGCCATTGAGTATAAGATGCACTTTTATTTTATGTAACCAAGTAAGAAAAAACAATCAATGATGCTATGTCATGCCACTGTACGAAGCATGCTGATTTCAGAGGTGTTGAAATGCAAGAAGGAAATGTGTGTTTTGTAATTGGGGAAATATAATGAGCTAAAGCAGATTGACAGTACTTTTCCCTTAGAATTTTTCATTCCTTGGAAGAATGAACTCGCGGTCTGCAATTGAGGAAGAATAAAGGAAAAGTAGTCAGTTGGGAGAGCAGGTTGGCCAAAGTAAAGGTGATGAGAAGTGGAGAAAAGACAAAACAAACGGCCCACCCTGTGGCTTAGCGGTTGGGTGCGCTCGCTCCGCTACTGGCAGCCCGGGTTCGGATCCCGGGCACGCACTGACGCACCGCTTCTCTGGCCATGCTGAGGCCACATCCCACATACAGCAACTAGAAGGATGTGCAACTATGACATACAACTATCTACTGGGGCTTTGGGGAAAAAAAAAAAAAGGAGGAGGATTGGCAATAGATGTTAACTCAGAGCCGGTCTTCCTCAGCAAAATGAGGAAGATTAGCATGGATGTTAGCTCAGCGCTGATCTTCCTCAAAAAAAAAAAAAAAGACAAAACAAACAAAGAAAAAAGAGAGATGTAGGATGGGGAATAGCTCAGACCCAGTGAAAATAAGCCAACAGGAAAATCAGTACATTTAGTTTCCCCACATGCCAAGGTTTTACAAACTGGTACATGGGAGGGTTATTCTTAAGCGTTGTTGTTGTTTTAATTATGAGGTTTTTAAAAATGTGTTTAACATTTGAGTGTGCCTGCCCACCAGAAACTATACTGGTGAGTCAACAAAAATCTTGAAAATGCTTCCTAATAAACAGGAAAGAAGAAAACTGAGTCTTAGTATACTTAGCTTTTTCCTTTTCTGACAGAAGAGCAGTGAGTGGGCTCTTCATGCTGGTCAGAGGTGAGTGAGATAGAGAAAGTCAGCTGGGCTGGGTGGGGAGCGGGGAAAGCCAGCACCACAGTCAGGAGAACCACCAAAAGACCCCGTGGATGACCTGACCTCACCTCTCCACCAGAGGCAGTGGACCTGCATACAGGGCGCTTAACAAAATCTTCCTGGAGAGACCAGGGCCCAGGTATCCTGGCAGATTGTGAACTCCCTTGACTTAGCTCCCCTAACCCAGCACTGATCCGTGGGGCCAGGAAACTGCCCAGTCTTGGCAGAACAAACTGGAATCAGGTACAGTTATAAACAGGAGGTCAAGATTTCACACCACTGTATCACAGTAACGGGTGACAAAGCCATCCAGGTATGAGCAAGGTGAACAGAAATGGTGTAAAAAGAAAGAAAGAAAGAGAAGGAAAGAACAACATAGCTTGCAAGGGGTCTCACTAAAAAGAAAAGTTATTCTTGGAACAGAAGGAAACTCCTTACAATAGCTAACATTCTACAACAACTCGACAAAGACATGAATTCCATAAAATAAACTCAAAGATGAGATCATTTTAAAATTGAGATAAAAAGTGAGATTGCAGACTTAAGGAAGTAAATTGAAGACCATAGAAACATAATTACAGAAGAAATAAGAGGAAAGAATAAAATAAATCCTACTGAAAGTAGAAATGTTTTTGTGTGTGTGAGGAAGACTGGCCCTGAGCTAACATCTATTGCCAATCCTCCTCCTTCCCCCCCCCCCATTTTTCTCCCCAAAGCCCCGGTAGATAGTTGTATGTCATAGGTGCACATCCTTGTAGTTTCTGTGTGTGGGACGTGGCCTCAGCATGGCCGGACAAGTGGTGCGTCGGTGCACGCCCGGGATCCAAACCCGGGCCACCAGTAGCAGAGCACACGCACTTTACCGCTAAGCCACGGGGCCAGCCCGAAAGTAGAAATATTTTAATAGAGGAAAGTCTTGACTTAAGCCCAATGAAAAGAGACAAAGCTTAAGCCTGTTAGAAAGAATCTGGTGTGGAGGACAGGCCAAGCACAATCAAACATAGGATAATTGAGATCCCTGATGCAGAAAAACCAACAAATGGAACAGAAATGCAAATAAAAATAGGATAAAAGAGATTTTATTGAAATGAAGAAAAAATGATCTGTAGGCCAAAAGAACATGCCATTTTGCTGGAAACTTTCATATGGGCATGCTCAGTGCCAGGATATCTTAAATGATTTAAATTCAAAGAAATAGAATTATTTAGGAATCCAAGAAGAAAAAGAAGTAAAGGAGGGAAAAACCAAATCAAGATGGTCTCAGACTTCTCCAGTATTTTTTGTGAGGAAGATCAGCCCTGAGCTAACATCCATGCCAGTCCTCCTCTTTTTTTTTGCTGAGGACGACTGGCCCTGGGCTAACATCCGTGCCTATCTTCCTCTACTTTATATGGGATGGCGCCACAGCATGGCTTGACAGTTGGTGCGTAGGTGGGCGCCCAGGATCCGAATCCCGGGCCGCCATAGCGGATTGCGCGCATTTAACCGCTACACCACCAGCCCGGCCCCTCTCCAGTTCTAAGGGAAAGAAACGTTTCCCAAGAGGGTATTTTGTCCAGCTAAAATGTCATTGAAGTTGAAAGCCAATAGGCAGGCCTTCTCAAATATGAATGAACAAAGAGCATTCAGCTCCCATGAGTGCTTTTTGAAAAAAAACTACTGGATAACAAAATCCAGCAAATAGCAAATTAAGAGATAAACCAAAATAAAGATCTCAGGCATGGGGAACTCACGATAAAAAGGACTGTTGGTGAACACTTATTTAAATGTAGAATTATTACAAAACATCTTTGGAAATTGTAGGTAGAATAAAATGGAATTGTTATATAAACCTAGATGCAAAGAAAACAATCAAAAACTATATAAGGAAATATGAGAATACTGAAGTTCTCATCTTTGAAATCGTGGATCAATAAATATGGTTTAAAATTAAAAGATGCTGCAAACATATAATACTCCAACTTCCTAATGTCTTTCATAATCTTTTTTTAAAAGCCTTAGAGGGATAATTCAGAAAGTTATTCTTTCTTAAGGAGAAAAATAATTTAAATTTCAACAATTCCTTCAGCCTTGGCTTCACTTTTTTTCCAAGTAAAATTAAATTTAGACAGAAACACTGTGTGTATGTGTGTGTGTGTGCGTGTGTTTGTGTGTGAATGTGTTTATGCATAGAAAGATTATGTTCACCTAATATTAATGATGGAAATATCTAGATACTAGAATTTACACTTTTATACATTATTTTTAATTTTTTAATGAACACGTAGAAGGATTTTTACAGAAACAAGAAAGATATTTGAAAAATAAACTAGAAACAGGCTAAGAGGTTCACAAAGGTTGCTGCTGGGTGGAATAAGAAATGGGGATAATTGTTACTTTCTTCTTTGTACTCTTGTATTTTTTTTAATTTCCAGAAATAAATTATATTTGTATAATGTTTCTGAATCCAGTTCATTCATTACTCATTGACTACCAATGATATGCCAGGCATCAAGCTATGCCAGATAGAAGAAAAGATACAGTTATGCTCTCTCCCAGGAGCCTGGGAGGCAGCGAGTTCCATGAGGGTTGTCTGTATGTCTGTCTGTTTAGGAGAATTTGAAATTCAGAGAAGAATCACTTCACCCAGGTAGCATCTGTTTGAGCTGGGCCTTGAAAATCGATAGTGTTTGTTCAGGTGTCAGTGGCAAGGATTGCTCCCTCCCAGGGAGGAATGGGGAGAGCCAGTAGGGCATGATGCATCACCCAGAGCTCCTCGCTTGTGTAGGATAGTGACTCTAGGGAAACCTAGAAAGGCTGATGACAGCCTTGAATTCAACCTAAGCCTCTTGGTGCCTCATTAGGCAACAGTGAGCTGCAGGCCGGGCTGTCTACGGAATTTGCAGGGCCCAGAGCAAAGTAAAAATGCATGGCCCACTTGTTTAAAAAGCAGGAAAAAGTACCATTGAAGGTACTAAAATAAACTCAGTCTCTCAACTTGTCATTTTTTAATTTGCTATTTAATGGCATTCTAAGGGAAAAAAATTTAATATTTAGCATGAATTTTACCATTCTACTTTATATTGTGCAAAACCAGATCTAAATGCAAATATGAGTAGCATTTCATTCATATGGGGAGTCACCGAATTACACAATTGGCATTTCATAGTGCGTGTTGGGAGGATGCCTCGAAGTAACCAGAAGAAGCAACTTAAACCAGACTCAGCAAGGTAGCAAGGAGGAAGAGAGGGTGCACCCACTCACACAGCCAGCCCAAGGAGCACTCCCTCGTGCAGAGGGACACTCCCAGGGCCAGGCAGCTCCCCACAGGTGTCTGGGGCCCCTCTACCCTGGTGACTCTGGACACGCATGCATACACTTGGGCCTGAAGGATGCCGGAGTCCACCTCCTGTTAGCCGCCCTGCACCCCAGTCTGAGATGGGCTCTGGACAATTCGAGCTCTAAGTCTCCGCCTCCCAAGGACCTGCCTTCCCAACCCACAGCCTACTGGCAACGTCCAAAGGTCTTTAAACCTCTGCTCCTGGACCTGCTAGGTACCTGGATCCAGGCTGACCCATGTGCTCACCCGCACTTGACCAGTTGCAGCCCCCTGGGCCAGGCGGGGCACTGCCAGCCCAGAGCAAGGACAACTTCCACCCTGCCTGATCCCCACCTTCTCTGCACACACACCAGGAGGGCTTCAATGCAACATGGGATTCTCTGATGATGTGACCTCGCTACCGCCCCATATAAAGGGCATCAGCAGTCATGGGGTGTAGAAAGAGAGGCCAGGCAGGATCTGGGACCCCATCCTGCAGGGGAGCGGGGAGAGAGACCAAGTGTGAGCCAAGGCTCCAAGCCCACTCTGTGTTCCATTGTCCCAGACTTCACTAACAAAACACAAGTTCAAAGATAAAATTATTAAGAATGTCAAGACAGGAGAGCAGTAAACCAAGCGTAGGACCCTTCTGCGTGCAGGGCCCTGGGGGACTGAAGCCAGCGGTGGCTCAAGAGATGGGAGTAACGAGAGCTATGCTTTAGGAAGGCTGATCTGTTGTACTCAGGGAGAGTTTTAAGGGGCTTCATTAACAATTTCAGGCAGGATACCAAGGTGGGAAATTCGATTTTCCAAGCAAGCAAGAATCTAGTCACCAGATATCTGGTTGGAAGTGGAGTATGGATCACCAGGAACACAGAAGGGGAGGAGGCAGCCCCTGGCTCAGAGTGGGAGAGCGGGACTTCTAATTGTGTAATTGTGTGTATGTGTTTCTTGGCTGCTGAAGGGACCGGGTGTTCTGCAGATGCAGAACAGAGGTGAAGAGGAAACGCCATCAAAACAAAACAGAGGGACCAGAAGCCACAGGGCAGATGTTCAACTATAAGGGAGTCAGCTCCTAATGTGGCATTCTATAATGCAGGTGCACCCAGCATCTGGGGAATGTCCACAATCATGCAAGCCCTCTGCCGAAGGGTGATGATGGGAGATGCCATATCACAAAGATCTCTCCGTACATGTTCTAAATGGATATGGTATTATGGGATACATTGTGGGCACAGGTGCCTGGATATCTCATGGGTGGTGGAGTCTGCAGCAGGGGTGGCCACTTTGTCTTGGAATCTTGGATTTCTCTAGAATACCCTGGTGAGACCTGTTACAGTGATAGTCAAGAGGACTTTTTAATTTGTTGTGTTTGTTTTGTTTTGTTTTGTTGAACAAGATTCGCCCTGACCTAATATCTGTTGCCCATCTTCTTTTTTTTTTGCTTGAGGAAGATTCGCCCTGAGCTAACGTCTGTGCCAGTCTTCCTCTATTTTGTGTGTGGGTCACCGCCACAGTGTGGCCGCCTACGAGTGGTGTAGATCGGTGCCCAGGAACTGAACCCGGGAGGCTGAAGCGAAGCATGCTGAACTTAACCACTAGGCTACGGGGCTGGCTCTTTAATTTGTTTTTAGCTTGAACTCAAGTCGGCTACTTTGTGGTCATTTTTCATTTTGACTTGAGGCTGAATGCTGCCCCAGTGTTTGGGGGACAGAAAAACACCCGGAGTCTATAGGGCCCAGCTGCTTGGATGGAGACAAAAGCTGAGGGAGAGAGGGAACAAGACCGATTGGGGGCTCCTTAAAATTCTTGAAGAATTCCTTCCTCATCTTAGAATGAGGCAGGCTTTCTAACCATGACTCAAAATGCAGACACTAAGAAAGAAAATGCCTTTAAATCTGAAAACTTGAAACTCAGAAACTTCTGCGTGGTTTAAAAATAAAAACAGCACAAGCAAATCAAAGGGCAAATGACAAGGAGAGGAAAAACAAAAGATGTGAGTCATATCACAAAGGGCCAGTTTCCTTCATACTTAAAAAGCTCCTGCAAACCAATAGGAAAAAAAGCAACAACTCAGTAGAAAAACGGGCAAAAATACAGACAGTTAACAAGGAAGGACGTACAAGAAACTCTTACCTATGTGAACATACACTCAAGCTCACTCAGAAGAAGAGAAATACAAATTAATATTAGTCTGAAGACAGTTTTTCATTTATGAATTTGATTTTTAAAAAATCCAAGAACTTGATGATGACCTCTGTGAAGAGGCTGTGGGGAGCAACAATTCTCACATACCGCAGGCGGTTGTTTAATTCAGTACAGCTTGAGGGTGGGAGTGTGGTTGTTTCTATCAGAATTAGAGATGCATGGGCACTTTGTGCCGGGTTTCTCTTGTCTGCCCCTCCAGACCCAACCTCCACCTTCTCCCCTCTTTACTCTGCCCTGGGATCCTGTCTTTTAGGGGTACAGCCCCCAACACCCTCGTCCTATGACATCTGGTTGGATTCAGCCAAGAAGGAGCCCCAAGTAAGAGAAGGGAGTGAAGTCAGGGGATATTTATCCCCCAGCACCCTCCCTGCATAGCCACCTTGGGCTGGCTAAGTCTGGCTTACATGACAGCCCCTCACACAGGATTCTCTCCTTCCAGATTCCAGTGTTGGCACTTCCCCTGTCCCCTTCAAGCCCAGGATGGTAACAGCCCCCACTGCTGTTAGCTCCAGGAACTACACTCTTCCTTATGATTTGCCTACATCCTGCTCACACCTTCATAAATAGTCCCTTGATTAAAGTCCCTCAAAATAGCCTAACTTGGGCCGGCCCCGTGGCTTAGCAGTTAGGTGCGCACGCTCCGCTGCTGGCAGCCCGGGTTCGGATCCCGGGCGCGCACCGACGCGCCGCTTCTCCGACCATGCTGAGGCCACATCCCACATACAGCAACTAGAAGGATGTGCAGCTATGACATACGACTATCTACTGGGGCTTTGGGGGGAAAAAATAAATAAATAAAATCTTTAAAAAAAAAAAAATAGCCTAACTTGAATGTGTTGTTTCCTGCTGGGACCCTGACTGATATGCCCTTTTGCCTAGTAATCTTACTGCTGGGAAGTTTTCCTAATTTCCTAATTCCTTAATTGCACGTATGCAGAATGACTCATGTCTGAGATAATCCATTGCAGAGGAGATTGGAAGCAACTCAAATGTCCATTGTAGGGACTGGTTATGTAAATAATGGTATGTCCATAGAGTAGACTATGCAGCTATTTAAAAAACAAGGAAATTCTCTGTGGTGCTGATGTAGAATGATCTCCCAAATATATGTATATATTTGTTTTTGTTTTTGTTTTTTTGCTGAGGAAGATTAGCCCTGAGCTAACATCTGTTGCCAGTCTTCATCTATTTTGTATGTGGGTCACTGCCACAGCATGGCTGCCAATGAGTGGTGTAGGTCCGCACTGGGAAACTGAACCCAGGCCACGGAAGCAGAGAGTGCCAAACTTAACCACCAGGCCATGAGGCTGGCCCCCCAAATATATTTTTAAGTGGAAAAAGCAGGGATTGGGCAGGGAATGTATATGCTATCTCTTGTGTAAAAAGGGGGGGAAATAAGAATGTATATTTGTTTTTGCTTATGCACAAAGATATTCTGAAGTGCTCTCACACATACACACACAAATGAATAGAAATAGTTTTCTGAAGGAAGCAAAACTCTACACTATTTACTCTTTGTATGTTTAGAATTTCAGAACCAAATGACTGTTACCTGTTCCAAAGTGAAATTAAAAATTTCTCCATGACTAAATAGGGAATTGGTCCCACAAGCTGAAATAGGCTGCTGTGTCAATGGGGTAAGTGGTCCAGCTCCCAGGAGGGCAGAGAAAGCCTGGAACCAGAAATTTCCTGCTGGTCTTGTTGTCTTGTTTTTGTCCATTTTTATCTTTGCAATTTAATTAGACACTTCAGAATTTTGATCACCTAATATTGATTTCCTTTCAGATGTGACAGTAAAGACAAGACTTATCAAATAACAAAGATGCTTTTGAGCCAGAATGCCTTGGCGATTCGACCACTAAATTTGTATCCTGTAGGTAAGTGTTACTTTTTATCCTGGGGGGCTCTTGTAGGAGCAAGCCCTGTTGGGGAGTAGCAAATTAATTTCCCTCGCTAGAGGACCCAGTCTCAGCCTGCCCCACGTCAAGAGCCAAATGGAACATAGATAGGAAGCCTATGTTAATGGTTTGGATTCAAATATGGATTTCTGCCCTACTGTTAATTTTAGGAAAACAAACAAATAAACAAGAACGACTTAAGGTTCAGGGATGATGGGGAGTATCCTCTTATGTACTCTGAGAGTAATTTCTCTTAATACCCCCATTCTAATCCAGGCTGGAGTTTGTCACTCTTCTGTATCTGGGAAGAGGCCAAACCCCTTATCTCCTTCTACGTCACCAGACTGAAAAATCATCCCTGAACTTTGGTTTCCATACTTCGTTATTGATTTTTTTTTTCCATAGTCCTATTCATTTGTGCCTTTTCTCTCCCTTCTTTTGATTCTGTTTCAGTATCACTGTGTCATCTGTCCCATAGTTTATCAGTAGGGGATCCATGAGTGGGACACTTCTCCCCTGTGCAGGACTGTAGTGCCCATGCACTGGAGTATATAACATCCTTGGCCTCCACCTACGATAAATATCAGTAACCCCTCCCCCCAAGTCATTGTGACATCCAGAAAACAAATGAGAATCCCCAGTTCCCATCACCAACACCTTTCTTTCTCCACCACCCTTGGTAAATATCTTTACCTTTAATGTGTATTAATTAGCATCATGCTTATTCATATTCTAAGAATTTTTCCGGACAGATAACTGCTGCTCAGGACACTCCTTCACCAGCCAACCCTTGTTACTAGTGTCAGCTCCCAAACAGATCTTATTTTGGATCCACTTAGAATGAAATCCTTGGACCATGTGCTTCTGATACCAATGCCAACTCTCTAAGCATCATTTACTTGAGCATTTTTTTTAGCACAAGAAAGTCTCCATCTAATATTAATATATATGTATAAAAGAATGTCATTCTCAGAGCAATGATCGTAAACTGAGCCCCGAGAAAGCCTTGTTACTTGTCTAACATGTTTTTCTTCTTCCTAGTGTTCATCAGCCTCACGTTTGGTATTTTACATGCTTTGTCTGGTAAGAGATTTTCTTGGCTTGACTAAATTTTGTATAAGGGTCAGCATGTGTGGGTGACCATTCAGAAGTCTAAAATGTGGGAAATTTGATTTCTGATCCCAGATCTGTTGCCCATTTTGTTTGAATCCTTTTTCTCAAATACTTTCTCTGTAAAAGGCGCCAAAATCAGAAAATTCTGGTTTTCAGATTTGTCTCATGAAACTATTAGGAGAAATTAACACTAGAGATAATTTTAAAACCCCTTAAAAGAATATTCCATTTAAAACCCCTTAACAGAAGAATGAGGAGACACAGACGATGCCAAAAAAAGCGATCTAGAAATAATTTCCCTTTAATTTGCATTCTTCCACCTGTTATCGGGTACTAGATAAAGAAAAATAGTTCTTTTTAAGCTAAACTTCTTGCCTACATATATAAATCTTTCCACAAAACTTCACTACACATTAAATATGTGTCCAGCCTTTTGGTGAACACTGGAAGATGAAGAACTGGCAACTGAGAAGCAAAGGCCCAGATCTTAACCACAGGAAACTTATATGATCTTCAAAACCTTCACCATATAAGGCGCGATTTGATAAGCGTAGCTTTAGAGTCATTTGTGCTGCTGAGTTTCAGCTGTATAACATTGCATAACTCGACTTCTCAATTTCACCGTCTGTAGAATGGGTCTATTAATAGACCCATTGTTGGGTCTTCAGCATTGTTGTGAGGATTAAATGCCTGCAGAGAGCCAGTCTGAGCACACATTATTCTCTCCCTCCCCTCTGTGATGGGGGACTGAGTGCAGTGGGGGATTTCAGAGGAGGGAAAGCTGGCAGTGGGCTGAGCTTCCTAGGGAGGACTGCAGGAGGAGTTGGGAGTTGAGTTGAGAGAATAGGGGGCCCCGGGATGACGTGGATAATTTTGATCCCATGAGCCATTGAGAGTCAATGATAACTGGGTGAGCCCAAATTCTGTTTACACAGTGCTGAGTTCCTGTTTCCTAAGCTTGCCTGCCCTGACAGTGTGTTGCTCATTAATTAATTGCATTGGTTTGCTTCTCGAGTCTGGGAAAACCATTTCCTTCCCATGTTTCCAAGACCCCAGGACTCTTGGGAGGGTTTCTCTGCTGGAAGCGTGAGCTCCAGATCCCAAGGGACGGTTTGAACAGTGACCAATTTACAACCCTAGGTTCCAGATTTCAATGTTTCTTTTTTTCTCCTGTTTCCTTTAGATTCTCCAGATGAATCTTGCATTTCTTTTAATATGACATTACGAAATTTCCAGTCAATTTTATCATGGGAATTAAAGAACCGTTCAATTGTACCAACTCACTATACATTATCCTACACAGTCATGAGGTTGGTTTAACATTTCATTTTTCTCCTGCTAAATATATTATCTTTTTATTATGTGGGGAGTAGAGAAGAGGTAATCTTTCTTGTGACTGAGCTTCTCTCTCTTTCTCTCTCTTTTTCATTCAGAGCTTTAAAAGTCCAAAGACAAAACACAAATCCATTTTTAATTAAATTGACTACTTTAACAATCCAAAGCTATTTTTGACAAAGCTTGTAGTTATAACCAAAGCCAGTTTCTGCAGGTCAGAGCCTCAGGAGCAAAATAATTATTGCATATGATTTTCACAATTATTTCTCTAATTCAGTAAATCTGAATGTTTAAAAGTGCTACATTTTCTGAGGACAGGAGTCCAAAGGTCTGGTGACCATATTGATGGTTTGTGTTCACTTTTCTTTACTCAGGGAGGCATGTTGCATGTCAGAAAGCTGCCTGGCCCAGACTAGCAGAGGGCCAGGTCCAGAGTCTGGCTTGGTCACTAACTGGCTGGAACCCTTGCAGGTAGAGCTCAGCCTCTCTGAGCTAACCCTTCTACTTAAGGGTTGTTGCGAGATTAATGACATAATGGACGGAGCCTTCTCTGGCTCTCTTCTTCCCACATCTAACAATCACCTCATAAGTCATTACTTTGATCTGGTAGCCCCTGGAAGTGTCCTTTTGTTCATTGTCTATTTGGCTTATAAACTGTTCCTACTGCTGACTGACCCAGTAGAGGGCCTCTTGTGAGTTTCTCTTTGGTGTCTGCTAAAGTCTTAAGTTTGTCTCTGCGTTAGGTGACCACATGTATCACCCATCCACCTTTCTGAAGCTGCAGAGATCAGACGTCTGTGTTGTCGCTATGTAGCACAGGCTGCCTTTGGACTGGACCATGTGGTCCTCGGCTGGAGAGAGAGGGGGTCTCAGGGAGGGCATTCATGATTGCCCTGGAGGGGCAGGAAGATCTGGGGCTTCTACCATGAAAGCCCAAGGTCTGTTCATTTGTTCATCCAGCGAATATTTACCCAGCACCTCCTATGCCAGAGGTCCAACCATGAACCAAAGTCCTCGCCCTCCTTGGGCAGACATTCTGAAAGTAGGTGGAGATATCAGTAAACAAAGAAAGATATAATGTAGCAGGTGGTGGTAAAAGGTATGAAGAAAAATAAAGAAGGGTAAGAAGGATTGGGAGAGGGTGGGTGGGTGGAGCAGGGTGAGGTGTTCCATTTTAATCAAGGTGGTTAGGAGAGGCAACTTGATACGGTGGTATGTGAGCAGAGCCCTAAAGGAATGAGGAAGTGGGGCATGCCCTTAAATGGATTCTTATCCCATAAATGCTAATGCTTTCCTTTTACCATTTCTTTTCCTTTCAAAGTAAACCAGCAGGTGAGACGGTTGTTGAGGACTGTATAAATATCACAAGATCATTTTGTGACCTAACAGATGTGTGGGAAAGCATGTCTGAGACATACCTCCTCACGGTAGTCGGATTCAGAGGGAACACAGTGCTGGTCAGTTGTTGGGACAAGGTCTTCGTGGCATTGGACAGTGAGTTATCTCTGTTGTATCATCATCATCAAGGTCATCATTATTTGCTTTGCCATGAAATAGGAAGGGGTTTTAGACTCAGGGCAAGGGTCCCCTCTTGGCCCTGCCACTTCCTAGCCCTGTAACCGTGGAGTAGTTACTTTGTTTCTCTGAGCTGGGTTTTCTTGTCCAGAAAATGGAATGATAATCCCTGCTTTGCAGATGATTACTCAGTGTCTGTATAAGGCAGACATGTAGGCAGTAGGAGCTGCTGCTTTTGGGGCTGTTTCACAACCTGAAAGGAAGTGACAGGCCTGTATCTGAGCTGTCACAACTCTTTGGTCCAATGTTTTCCTTAATCCTGCAGCCCATCCCCCAGATCGTAACCCAGCCGTTCTTGTACGTTCGAACGCCCAGCTGCGCATGCGCCTGGGGCCCAGACTCAGAGAGGACTGGCGCTTGAGAGTGGGCCTGCCCTTTCTTTCTTACCCTATGACTGGAGTCAGCTCCCTAGCGCGCTTGTGTTAACAGCTCCGGGGCAGTTGTCGGTGGCCCACAGCCAGACTCCATCACTTCTTCAATATCCTAATTTGCAACCTGTTTCTAAGAGAAAGATTACATGTTAAAGGCTGTGTGGGTGTACCCTCACATGTACCCGCTTAGCAAATTGACAACTGACTCCTACTGTAGCAAATGACTTAGATACTTATGAGATTCACTGGAATTGGTGCATGTTTATGAGTGTGTATAAATAGACACATCTGTCTGTGTCCCCATAGAAAAGAAAGAAAAGCACAATTTATAGATCATGGTATTCAGACTATGAAAGAAGGTCTATTAAAGTGATGATGAGATATCATTTTTCAAGACTCAAAATGGTAAATATGAAAAGTATGTAAATGCCCAGGTTTAGAGGAAATGCAGGGAGGGTACTTTGGCACAGTCTTTCTGAAAGTATTTGTCAGTGTATGTTTTTAAAACCTTATCATGTGTCTGCTCTAATCCAGAATTCCTCTTTAATAATTTGTCCTAAGGACATAATTATGGAGAGATGCAAAGATTTAGCTCCAAGACTACTCATTGATACATAGATTCTATTAGAAAAATTTGAGATAATCTAAATGTTCAGTTAAATCACGAATCATCAAGCAGTTAAATCATGGTATAGCCACTTAGTGGAATAGAATTAATCATGAAAAATTATGATAAAGATCAGGGGTCAGCTGACTTTCTTGTAAAGGGCCAGAAAAAAAACACTATAGATTTTGTGGGCCACATATGGTCTCTGTCACATATCCTTCTTCATTTGTTTATAAGTCTTTCAACAATAAAAACCATTCTGAACTTGCAGGCTGTGCAAAAATCTAACCCACAGGCCATAGTTTGCCAGCCCTTGATGTAGATAAATATGCATCAATATGTTTATGAAATAAGTGAAAATATATACCATGCAAAATAGTGTGGGTAAGAATGATTTTAGTTTAGATATGTGTATGTGTGTGTGTATACACACTAGTTCAGTTTATATATGTGTGTGCGTGTATATATATTTACATACGTACAGCATAGACAAAAGATGATTAACCACATTCAGAGACAATTGCCTGTCTGTATTTTCTGATGTTTCTGCAATGGTTATGTATTATTATTGTACAGTCATGCACTGCATAACAATGTTTCTGTCAATGACAGACCATATATATGATGGTGGTCCCATAAGATTAGTACCATATAGCCTAGGTATGTAGTAGGCTCTACCATCTAGGTTTGTGTAAGTACACTCTATGATGTTCACATGACAAAATCACCTAACAATACATTTCTTAGAACTTTTCCCTGTTGTTAAGCGATGCATGACTGTAATATGAAAAGAAGTCATTTTTACTTTTGTGTTTAGAATACAGCCTGAAAACTGGGAAAGTACTGACTTCCATCTCAAAATCTGTTCTCCATTTATTTTGGTAATGTTAAGCAAATCACTTTATCTTATTGTTTCTCAGTTTTTCACCAGTAAAAAAATATAACTCATTCCTTAACTAGGACCATAGGCAGATTAAAAAGAAGATAGCTGTGAAGATGTAAGATTGTGTCATGACAATGGGAGCATTACTGTTGTGCAATCATTGACTAACATTGGGGTTTGTTTCTGACTTTGTTTTCTAAACAGTGTCTTTGGAACCACCAGAATTTGAGATTGTTGGTTTTATCAGCCACATTGATGTGATAGTGAAATTTCCACCTGTCATTCCCAAGATGCTAGTTGGGAAAAACTTACAGACTTATTTATCACTTGTCATCGAAGAAAAGTCAGGGAGCATTGTTAACCTGGTAAGTGGTCAAAGTAGTTCTGAGTTGGCAGTGAATACATTTGACTCTCTTCTTTAAAAAAAAAGACATTTGTAATGATTTGAACAATTAAAGCTAAAGGGTCTGCGTCAGTGTGGTCTGACTTTAGGAAAGAATTCTCCATAGTTCATTCATTGTGGAAATATGTTGACTTAGCCTAGCAGTGCAGTCTTCTTTCAAAGAATAAGCCACATGCACAACATGAAGGGACACAGAAGAGAGAGAGGCATGTGGTGTAGACGAGGAAAACAGGCAAATTTCAGCATGCCAGGGTGAGATTTTCTTTGAAAGGGATGGTTTAGCTGCACATAAAAAGCATCTATCTCTACCACTCCAGCCCTCATACACTGTAAGGGAAGTGGCTCTGTCCAGTAATTCTGTCCCCTCTTGATTTCTCTGAATGTGGGTAAGCTCAGGGCGATCCTAGTATCAGACAGACCTGGATCTTCAATTATGTGTTTTCTCAATCCCTCAGAATTCTGGAATGAATGAAATAGACAAACTGTGCTCACTGGTGGGCCCTGCTGTAATAGACAAACTGTGCTCACTGGTGGGCCCTGCTGTAATAGACAAACTGTGCTCACTGGTGGGCCCTGCTGTAACAGCAGCTTACATTTGCATAGCCCTTTGCAATTATAAAACCCTTTTAAGTAATACCAGCCCGCAAAATATCAGGGCGGGGCATTTCGGACAGAGGGCACAGGATGTCAGAGGCCCTGAGGCTGGAGCGGGCCCAGTGGGTTTGAGAAACAGCAGGGAGCTGGAATGGAGTGACCAAGACAGGAGAGTAGAAAGCGGTGAGGTCAGGGAGGTAGTGAGACCGGATCTTATAGGGCTTTGTGGGTCTAAGTCTTCGGAGTGTGATGGAAGCCACTGGAGGACCCAAGCCTTCAACAGGGCATCCTAGCTGATGTGTTAAGAATGGACCATAGAACTATGGAATTCTCCATAGTTCATTGATTGTACCCAGTGGCGTACTGGTAAGTTCATGTGCTCCACTTTGGCAGCCCAGGGTTTGCAGGTTCGGATACCAGGCACAGACCTATGCACTGCTCATCTAGCCATGCTGTGACGGTGTCCCACATGCAAAATAGAGGAAGATTGGCACAGATGTTAGCTCAGGGCTAACCTTCCTCAAGGAAAAAAAGAGGAAGATTGGCAACAAATGTTCGCTCAGGGCCAATCTTCCTCACCAAAAAAAAAAAAGAGAGAGAGAAAGAATGAACCATAGGGGCCAAAAGTAGAAGTTGGAAGACCAGTTAAGAGGCTATTGGGATGCTAATTACTTAATAGAAAGCAAATTACATAATTATTATAATTTTTCCTTTATTATTCACCTGGATTATAATCAATACCCTAATCCTTTGATTAGGAAAAGGGAGCAAAAATAAGAGAGGAAAAAATAAGCTTATTTTCCTCCAAGTTTCATTAAATATCATATTCTGGTCCCATCTAATTTATATTCAACCCATGAACTCCTAACTCTGTTTCAGATTATTTCTAAAATAAGAGACCTGTGCTTATTAAGATATTGACAACACTGTAAGAGGAAAACTATAGTTAATAAGCATCCTCTTCATTAAAGAAAATTAGTCTTTAAATTAAATTAAAGAAAAAAAAAAGAGGCTGTTGGTGTAATCCAGGTGACAGATGGTGGTGGCTTGGACCACTTGGCAGTAGTAAGAAGTGGTTAAATTCTGCATATATTTTGCAAGTGGAGCCAGCAGTATTTTTGGATGGATGGGATATGCAGTGTGGTGAAGAAAGAGAGAAGTTAGGACTCCAACACTTTCAGCACGAGCACCTGGATAGATGGAGTTTCCATTGATTAAAATGGGAAAGATTATGGATGGAGCAGGTGGATGGTTGGATATCAGTGGCTCGGTTTTAGACGTATAAAGCTTCCAGGAGGAGATGCTGAGCAGGAGATGAATGTACCAAGTCTGGAGGTCAAAGGAGAGCTCCCGGCTAGGGAGATGTGCTGGGGAACCATTGGCTTCTTGGTGTGTATCGAATGCCTTGAGACCAGATGAGATCACCCAGGAGTGGACATGCAGAAAGAAGAGAAGTTGAAGTCCCAGAAGACTCCCAAATGTGGAGATCTAACAAATGTGGGGGAAACAGCAAAAGAGACTGAGAAGGAGCAACCAGCATGGTAGGAGCAGAACTAGGTGAGAGTGATGTCCTAGTAGCTGAGAGAAGGAAGTTCCAGAAGGAGAGAGTGATCTACTGAGTCAAATGCTATAAATGGGACAAGTTAGAAGAGGCCTATGGATTGAGGATTGGGGTTAGCCACGTGGAAGTCATGGTGACCTTGATAAGAGTGGTTTCGGCGGAGAGATGGGGTAAAGACCTGGTGAGAGTAGGTTCAAGAAAGAAAAGGAAGAGAGAAATTGGAGACAGTGAGGAGAGCTAATTCTTCTAAGGAGTTTGTCTTTAAAGGGAAGGAGAGATACGCAGGTGGCTGGAGGGGAAAGGGGGGTCAAGGGAGGGACTTTTTAAGATGAGAGAAATTACAGCATGTTCATATACAGATGGAATGTTCCAGAGGCATTCTTGGAGCCATGTCCTAGAGGAAATGAGAGCAAATGGAATCTCGAGAGCATGAGAAGGGGTTGGCCTTGGCTAGGAGCAGGGACTGTGTATCTGAGTCACAGAGGGGAGGCAGAGTCCACGGGCCCAGGGCCATAGAGGAGGGAGGTTCCATTTGCTCTGAGAAACAGGAAGCGAGCATTGCAGACTTAAGACCTCACAATGGCAGCGCCAGGTGTAGAACTCAAATGTTCTCACTCTCAGCTACCATCATGCTGTTCCATTGCAAGGCAAGAGCCCTTCCTCCATGACGCTGTTTCTGCTCTGGCCCCTTTTTCTTCTTCATTGCTTATTTGCCATGCATGAGCTTTTAGTTTGTTGGTTTAAATAATTCCTCCTCCTTGCAAATAGAAACTTCCAGAAAAACATTATTACAGAAGGCTGTATTTGAACTGCTGGAAATCCTAAGTTATAAAACTGCTAGTAAGAATCTATTTTGAAAACTATAAAACATTATACAAAAATTGTTTTTCCTGAAAGAACCTTCATATCATCTCTTCGATTCCAAAATGGAACAGAACTACCTGGGAAAGGAGAGGCAAAGTGTTTTAAGGGAGAGGACAGGGGACTAGACATCAGCCTTATTTCTGCTACAGACAAGCTGTGTTGCCTTGGGGAAGTTACTTAACCACTCTGAACTGCAGTTTCCTCATCTGGAGAATGGGGATAATGCCTGTTTTGCAGACCGTTTTGACAATCAGATGAGTTAATATGTATGAAAGCACTTTTTGAAGTGTAAAGTAGACATATTGTTAATGAAATATGATAATCTTATGTTTTTATTTTCTTATTTTTGCAAGCTTATCTTATTGCAAGATAAAATAATCTTGCAAAAATAACATCCTGGAGACCTTTATTCTTCATTGGGACTTTTTCTCTTCATTTGTAAAATGAAGTTGCTAGACTAGATTTCATGGTTTACAAATGTGTGTGTGTGTACATGTACATGTAGTTTTGTGATAAATTACTTGCCCCAAGTCACTTATAAATACTTTTTCTTGCCAAGCCTATGATATTTCTATCCTTGTTTAAGATTTGAAGACAAATTCCCAGAGACTCTTAGGGCCTGCCTCTACGTGCAATTCTCACTCAAAGTCTTACTGATTTTTTGCTTATTTTTACAGCATAGACCCAAAATAGATGGAAACACTACTGGAAATTTCACTTATGTCATCGACAAGTTAATTCCAAACACAAACTACTGTGTATCTGTTTATTTTGAGCCTAAAAATCTGGGGAAAATACATAGATCTCCCTTAAAATGTACCCGCCTTCAACCTGGACAAGAATCAGGTATGACAGTTTTTGAAAATTCATGTTTTGCTTTTACTCTGAGGGCAAACCTATTTAAAGAAAAGAATCTGAAGGTTGTGGGGCACTAAAGGTATTTCTTCCACTAAAGGCGGATCACAGAAGTGTTTTCCTTTTTTTTTTTTTTTTGCTGAGGAAGATTGGCCCTGAGCTAACATCTGTGCTCATCTTCCTCTATTTTGTATGTGGGATGCCGCCACAGCATAGCTTGATGAGCCGTGTGTAGGTCCCTGCCCAGGATCCAAACCCACAAACGCTGGGCCGCCAAAGCAGAGTGCGTGAACTTAACCACTAGGCCACGAGGGCAGCTCCCTACAGCGGTGTTTTCTGTTGGTCATGTCTACTATGTGGTGGAGTCACTTTTATGTTGCCGTATCATAGGGACAATGAGGTGTCTACCTTTTTAAGGTCAGAAATCCTCCTGAAATGGAAATGCTTTGATTTCGGGGGGTCAGGATTAAATTCAGTTCTGTGTCCCCTCAGCTTGGCCATTATTCGAGCCAAGTGCTAGAGGAGGCAGGGTTGCTGGAAGCAGCTGCGTTCAGAGGTATCAGGGTGAGAGCGTGGAAGCAGTGGCGTTGGGTGTGGTTCATTGATGTGGCCTGACTCTTGGGAAGGTTGGCTGTAGCTCATAGATGAGAGGGCACCTGGCCGGTGTGGACCAGATAGTCACTGATGAAGGCTGAAAGCCCTTCTGTGGCAAAGGCATCAGAACAGTAAACAGCGTGATCCCCGAACCTTCCTCCGAATGGAGAAATTTGCGGTGACAACAATCAGGCTTAGGAACATTGACTGCTGATTATTTTCTCAGGAAGAAAATTATTTTCTCAATTCTGACACCATGTCACTGGAGATCATGTCAGATCCCACAGGTTAAGGGCCCCGTCCCGTAACACTGCCCCACCACCGCCACTTCAAATACCAGTCACAGCTCCAAGTTGTCACCTGGGCTTCTGACAGACTGGCTATAAATCAGAGATTCCCACAATCCCCTTCTTGGGTTTGCTAATTTGCTAGAATGGCTCACAGAACTTGGGAAAACAGTTTACTTACTAGATTCCTGGTGTATTATAAAAGGATACAACTCAGGAACAGCCGGAAGGAAGAGATGCATAGGGCAAGATATGGGGGAAGGGGCACAGAGCTTCTCTGCCCTCTCTGGGCACACTACCCCCACCCCCAGCATCTCCATGTGTTCACCAACGCGGAAGCTCTCGGAGCCCCATCATTTAGGATTTTTATAGAGGCTTTGTTATAGAAGCATGACTAATTAAATCCTTGGCCATTGGCCATTAATTGAAACTCCAGTCCCTCCCCACTCCCCGGAGATTGAGGGGTGGGGCTGTGCAAGTTCTAACAATGATTTGGTAGGTTCCCCTGGCAACCAGCCCCCATCCTTAGGGGCTTTCCAAAAGTCACCTCATTAAAAGTAAACTCAAGTGTGGTTGAAAGGGACTCGTTATAAATAACAAGTCTCCTTTCACCTTCTTTGCTCTCATCACAGGAAATTCTAAGTGTTTTTAGAGCTCTATGCCACGACCTGGGGACGAAGACCAGTTATATATTTCTTATTATAAATCACAATATCACACCAATAAAAACTCAAGTTAGTAATGTGACAGGACAGACGTTGGTTTGCTGAAACTCAGTCCCCACTGAGGTGAATGTAAGGCTGACCCAAGACACAGGTCCTTTGGAGGTTGACATGCTCTGTGATGACTCAGTTTCTCCCCTGACTTTTCTGTTTCACCTGCTAAGAAATGGTCATGCAACGGCATGCTGTCAGGTCATTTCATCTTTCCTTGGTGTGAACACATCATTTTGCTTATTAAGTCAGCCTCCATTCTTGTGTCATCACTCAAGACAGTGAAAGTACAGGTATCCTTTGCTATCCAAATATTTGAAGTCCCGGTTCTTGTTGTCTGAAACTCAGGAACCAAGTGGGGTCAGATAACATGGCCTCTCTCACCGTCCAGACTTGCCATCTGAACTACCCTCAACTAGCCAAACTCGGGAACCAGCCAGGTTTGGATTGGGGGGATTCTTGAAGGATAACCTGGGAGCAATGTTAACTTACTTGGACTCAGCTGTGAACACTGCTATCTTAGGGCAGTACTCCTATGGGGGGATTTTAGTCCAGAGATCTGGAGAAATGCCTTCCACTTTGTCAAGCCCTGAATGAATTGGTTGGCTCACTTAGTAAGGCCTTGAGAGAAATCTCTGCTCATCCATTTGACAAATACTTATTTCGGACCTGCTATGTGCCAGATTCTCTTCTGGATACTGGGGATACAGCAGTGAACAACGCAGGTAAAAATTCCTGACCTTGTGGGGCTTACACTGCAGTAGGAAGACAGAAAAACAAGATTAAAAAATTAAAATACATAGTATGTTAAGTGATGGTAAGTGCTATGGAGAAAAATCAAGCAGGAAGCAGATGGGGGCGATGTTGAGTAGAGGGTGGTAGCTCTCTATTTTAAATAGGGTGGTGTCTCGGTTTACATTCCCTTGGTGTACATTACATTTACATTACATTAAGCTTAGCCTAAAATGGAAATTCTGGTTCAAGTGATTTACTGGGTGTGGGAGAGAGGGTGGGCACACACGGATCAGAATCCCATTACGTCATTGCTGCTCCAAAGAAATCACTTGGGTTCACAGAGCCCTTTTCAGGAAGGTAAACTCTATATGTATAAGAATTTTGTATCATAAAGGTCTGCCTTTGTGGCTAGATCTAATTCTAGAACTGTCAATGATATGACACTCCCTCATTCACTCTTGATAGAAATGAGAGTGGGTTCATGAATCCTTTGCTATCGAACAGTGCAAGGGTCTTCACTGAGTTTCTTTCTGTTCATTCCTTAACCTTCTGAAAGACTTTGAACACATATAATCCCCCTTGATTTCCTTTTTTCTCTCCTGTATCTGTTTTGCCTGCAGCTATGGTTACAGGATTAATGTTAGTAAAGGTCTTTCTGGAAGTTTAAGAGAAGCTTGGTTACATAATTACTGATTTCTTCTCAGTCGAGTTGGACTTATGGAATAAAGCTATTTTCAGTCAGAAGGTTAAAATTGTCCAAAAGGAATTTCGACAAGAATCTAAGGGGGACTCATAATAGGACAAAGGGAGTTCTGCAGAGCCCTGATTTTGGGACCCGTGTGGCCCAAGTCCAGCCTCAGAAAGACCCAGTTGTTTTCTTCAGGTAAACTCCCCTTTTCCACTTCTTCCTGCCTGCAGTGCATGCTAGCTTGTGGCTATTGAGCATATGAGATGTGGCTACTGTGACTCAGAAACTGAGGGGGTGTTTTTCAATTTTGATAATTCAAATTTAAATGGTCACATGTGGCTAATGGCTACCATATTGGATAGCGCAGTCTAGAACATAATTATAAACTGGAAGAAATTTGACTTTTAAAAACTAATTCTGTCATTTTTATCATTTTAAAAAAATGTGGCACCGGCCCGGTAGTGTAGTGGTTAAGTTCGATGCACTCCGCTTTGGCGGCCTGGGTTCACAGGTTCGGATCCCAGACGCAGACCTACACCACTCATCAAGCCATGCTGTGGCAGCGACCCACATAGAAAATAGAGGAAGATGGACACAGATGTTTGCTCAGGGCCAATCTTCCTCACCAAAACAAAACAACAACAACAACAAAACAAAACAAAAAAATAAATAGATGAATAAATAAATAAAAACATATACTTGGATTACTTTCCATTCTTTTGTATTTAACAGTAGTTTTTCCAACTTTTGCTCCCTCAATATCTCCTTCCACCACCAGACCAATGTGCATTGATTCCCACCTGTGATGGTTAATTGGATTTGTTTTGAAATTAAGTCATTTGATTTTTATCAACAGAGTCGTCAGAATCTGTCAAAATAGGAGGAATAATTACTCTGTTTTTAATAGCAGCTGTCTTCATAAGCACCATAATAACACTGAAACGGATTGGTTATATATGCTTAAGACATGATTACCCCAAAGTTCTGGTATGTAGTTTTTTTCAATTCTCTTTGTTTTTTATTTTAACTTAAGAATTTTTATTATATACTTAAATAGTTTCACTGAAGAAAATCCCATTTTCTAAAAACACCAAGATGTTTTATCACTCTGGGTTCTTTTCCATCCTTGCAAACATATATTTTGCATTTTATGTTTTCTTTTCATACTTTGTCCACATATTATTTTTAATGATCATGTGGTATTCAGTTGTTATTAATGTAACATTTTTCTCTTAATCGTTTCCCAGCTGTAGGTCATTTTAATTAGTTTCTCTTTCATTTATTTTTCTTTCCTTGCCTTCTTTCTTTGGCCATTAGGAAGAATGCAGTGAACATTTTTATACAGATTATCTTTTTATTTTTGGATTACTTCAGTGGAACATATACACAAAGTAGATTTATCTTATAAAAAGAGAAAGAACTAATTTATAGTGCCAGTGGTTCTGTATAGGTGTCCACATTTCCCCCAAGTTATACTGGCTTTGATTAATCATTTTTACTACTTTTTTTCATTTATAGTATGTGTCATAGTCCCCCATAGTTGTTCTCATTTGTGTTACTTTAATTATTAGTGAAACCAGCCACTTTGCTTGTCTGTTTTTTCTCTGTGCTTCCAAAGGCACATACTTTCTGCTCAGAGATTTTAACCACTCAGCACATCTGGGTATTGATCTGACATATTTCCAAAACCTCATGTCTTTTGACTCAACTATGTTTGCCCATCATTAATCATTATATCCCATTGCTTTCTTTCTATATTAGTTTTGTAATTTCTCACTCAGAGGTATCTTATTTTTCTATGTTTAAACTCATTCACCTATTCTTCTAATTTTTTAGCATATTCAAATACCCCACCACAGTTGATAAAACTGTACTCTTCTTTTTCTTGTTGTTTCTGTGTGTTCGAGTTGGGTTGGGGATGGGATTGTTTATTGGGTGTGTGTGTATGTATTTCGGGAGATTTTAATTACAATTAGTATTTGATCCTAGCTGGCATTTGGGTCTGCCTTCTGAGATGTAGATGGCTCTGTGTTGGTGTCATCCACACTGTGATCGCTGTCTTGCAAGAATGGGTGTCTTTTATCTATCAGTGTGCTGTGTCTTTTAGAGTCTTTTATGTTAGTGTTTGGTTATGACTTTGCTCTCAGCCTTCATTGTCACTCTTCCTGTCTGCCATGCATTGCTTTGGCCTTGAGGTCTTAAGTAAATCCTACCTCAACTTATATTTCTCATGCAGCCTTGAGATATGAAGGCCCTTAGCACCACCATCCCCTCCTAGATAAATCTTCTGCCTGAATCACATAAACTCGTTACTAACCCTCCTCCAGGTCTCCCTGGGGTTCCTCCCCTCCTTAAGATGCATCCAAATTATATGCCAATTATACGTATGCCTGTTATTCTGTTAACCCCACGTAATGACTGGAGGTGTTGTTATCTTGTGTCTGTCTAGTATTTCCCCATTTTAAATTGTTTCTTGTGTTTAAGTAAAAACTCTAGGAATAGTAAAACAGAACACTCTAGGTCTAGTGTGTTTGTGTATGTATGTTTAATCAAGAATAGATATTAAAATTTTTAAATGGCATCTTTTCTCTTTTTCTTCTTTTTTCTTTTTTTTTTTTTTTTTTGCATTTAACAAATATTTTTTGAGTGTTTACTGTGTGTCCACATGTTTTAGGTGCTGGGATATAGAAGTGAAGAAAACAAACAAAAACCCTGCCCTCATGGAGCTTAAAGTCTGAGGAGTAGGGGTACAGACAATGATAATTTATAGATGATATGACTGGCTAAGTAAAAACTTCACATGAATCTAAAGTCTTAGGATTAATAAGTTTAGCAAAGTTGTTACATACAAAATAATCAGTTTAAAAATGCTTGCATTTTTATACACTAGCAACAACTAGAAAATAAACATAAGGCTGCTTTTCAACATCCCAGAAATTAAGTACACAAGTCATAGCGTAATGCTCTGTGAATTTCCGCAGATTCAACGTGCCCACCTAACTCATGTCCAGGTCAAGAAAGAGACAGTGACCAGCCTCCCCAGAAGTCTCTCTCCTGCCACCTCCTAGTCACTGCCCCCCCCCCACTACCCTGATTACTAACAGCATAGATTAGTATTACCTGGTTTTGCACTTGGAATCATACAGTTTTGTTTTTTTTTTAAAGAATACCATTACAATAGTGATAAAAAATATTTTTTAAACATTTAAGGAAGATATCTAACAGAAGGTGTTACAAGCCCTTTGTGGAGAAAATTATCAAACCTTATTGAAAGGCATTAACAAAGATCTAGTCAAATGGGGAACCCATAAATGGTCTCACACATATGGAAACATGACAGATGACAAGTAGGAATGGCAATGGGGAAAGGATTGGCTGGTCAATAAATGTTATCTATGTGGGAGAAAATGAAATTGGATCCCTACCTCACACCATACACAAACGTCAATTCCAAGCATATTAAAGACTGTAATGTGAAAGGCAAAACTGCTAAAGTTTTAGAAGGCAATATAGGAGATTCTATATGACTTTGGGGTAAGGAAGATTCTCTTAGACACAAAAAGCAAAAACCATAAAGGAAGAAAATTGATACATTTTCTTACATTAAAATTAAGAATTTCTTTTCATCAAATGTCATCATAAAGAGAGTAAAATGCTAAACCACAGACTAGGGGAAAATATATGTAACATAAATTGACAAATATCTAGCATCCAGGTTATGTAAAGAGCTCCTATGAATCAATAAGAAGAAAGATGAGCAATTCAATAGAAAAATTTACCCCAAGGCTGGGGCTGGGTGGAGTAGGGGAAGAGCAGGTTTGTCTAATTGGGCAGCCCAAGCAGGCATAGGAGAATAGAGAGGAGGAGGATGCTGATGATGATTCCAGGCCTGTGAAAAGAATCTCATGACCACCCTCCTCACCACTGGCCCCATTGTAGTCATTCTGGATACAGGGAAATGCAGCCTGCCTCCTATTCTCCTTAGCTCACCCCACCCCACTGTGTCCTGAAGATGTTTTCTTCCAAGGGCTGTAATAGAGTGGCTCCCATCTCCTCACTCTTCTCATCCCTGACCCTTAAGGGGTCATCATCATCTTTAAGGTCCTCCAGTCCAGGGGGCTTTGGCTCCAGTAGAATTGGCTCCCTAGAGTCTCTCCTCACCCATAGTTCCTTGACCCCCCTAAGAATGCCTTAGCAATCTAGAATTGAAATCTATCCTCATTTGAAATCTAGCCTTTGCCACTTATTGGTGAGGAACCTTGGGCAAGTTTCTTAACCTCTCTGCCTCATTTCTCAACAGTGAAGTGGGGATAAGAATAGTAAGCCTACTTCATAGAGTGGTTGTGTCAAGGCAGATAACCAATAACCATTCTATAGATAAGAGAGATAAGGCGGGTTTTACTTGAGCCGGGGTGAGGATTATAACCCAGGAAGGCAGTCTCCACAAAAGGAGAGAGTTCTGGGGAAGCATGGTTTTTGGTACAGTCTTATACCTTTTTAGGACAAAAAACAGACATTAAACATGCCCAGGGTACATATTCATCAAAGTTTCAAAGAGGTATTCAGTTGTAAATTAGCAGGTCAACATGACCCTGATGTCCCGGAAAGGGAATTTATCTTCAGGAATACTGATACGGCTTATGGATACCAGTATCTTAGGAGGGGAAGGATGCATTCTTATCTTAAAAGAGTGCATGCATTCTTGGGCTCAGTCTGGTGGCATAGTGGTTAAGTTTGTGTGCTCTACTTCAGTGGCCTGGGGTTCACAGATTTGGATCCTGGGCACAGACATATGCACCACTTATCAAGCCATGCTGTGGCAGGCGTCCCACATATAAAGTAGAGGAAGATGTTAGCCCAGGGCCAATCTTCTTCAGCAACAGACGTTAGCTCAGGGCTAATCTTCCTCACCAAAATAAAAAAAAAAAACAGAGTGCATTCTTTTACTTTGAGATAATGTTTAATGCATTCTTTACTATAATAGTTAAAGCAGATGTACAATGTATGTTTGATAGGCTGTAAGTCAGGCTTCTTTAGTTCAAGCCAAATCAGTTTTGTTTTTGTTTTTGTTTTTATTTTCTGTGTGTGTGAGGAAGATCAGCCCTGAGCTAACATCCATGCTAATCCTTCCTCTTTTTGCTGAGGAAGACCGGCTCTGAGCTAACATCTATTGCCAATCCTCCTCCTTTTTTTTCCCCAAAGCCCCAGTAGATAGTTGTATGTCATAGTTGCACATCCCTCTAGTTGCTGTATGTGGGACGCAGCCTCACCATGGCCAGAGAAGCGGTGCATCGGTGCGCGCCTGGGATCCGAACCTGGGCCGCCAGTAGCAGAGCGTGTGCACTTAACCACTAAGCCCCGGAGCCGGCCCCAAGCCATATCAGTTTTAAACCAGAATAGCTACCCCATATACCTCAACATGTGAAAATCTCTTGTCTTGAGGGTGAAATGAATTATAACATGTAAAGTACTAGGAGCAGTGCCCAGCAAATAGTAAACACTGTAGTATAACTGTTAGCTATTGTTGTTGTTGTTGTTATTGTCATCATCACCATCCTTATCACTATGCAGTTAATCTCACTAAGTTTTATTATGTCAAAAAATAAAGAACAAACACTCAGAGTTGATAATCTCTCTCTCTTTTTTTTTTTTTTTTAAGAATTTTTATAACCTGTCAGCCTGGGTATTTCCTGAGCTACCGCCATTGGAAGCCGTGGCTATAGTGGAGGTCATTCACATCAACAGAAAGAAGAAAGTGTGGGATTATGAATACGGTGATGAAAGTGACAGCGATAATGAAGCCGTCCCCCGGGCAAGCGCAGGTGGTTACACTATGCATGGACTAACAGGCCTGTGTCCACTGGCCTCCACCTCCTCCGCCTCCTTGGAGAACTGCGGCAACCCAGACGCTGAGGAGCCTGACCTGCCTGAGCCTGGGGTTGAGTCTGAGCCCCTGATGACACCAGGGCCTGGCCCCTGCCAGTCGGAATGCACAGATGGGGACTATGAGAGGAGAGGGAACCGGCTGCAGGACCGCTTTTCCGAGGAGGACAACAGCTCCACTGAGGGGTCCGAGGACAGAATTGTCTTCAATGTGGATTTAAACTCTGTGTTCGTGAGGGTCCAAGATGACGACGATGCAGAAGTCCCTCCAATGTTATCATGTCTTCCAGAAGAGGCAGTGGACCTAGAGGATCCCAACGAAATGGAAACAAGCCTTCTGGTGGCCAGCGGAGAAGGCACACAGCCGCCCTTCCCCAACCCCTCTGTGGAGTGCCTGTGGCCTGAAGATGCTCCTTCTGATGAAAGTGACACTTCTGAGTCAGATGTTGACATTGGGGATGGTTATATAACGAGATGAATCCAAAAATATTTAACTTGGACTGACAAATACCTCCAGGGTGCTCTCTCCTTGCACCCCCACTTGCTCCTTTGTGGTCTGCAAGTGTTCTCTGAGGGAAGGGGTGGGAGACTGCAGAGTGGGCTGGGTTCTCCCTGGTGATGTTATCTATGCAGATTGTCAATATGGAGGAGAAGGAGGTGGGAAACAGTATCATTCAATGCATTGTTTACAGGTTCAAAGTGATGCACTTTGAAGGGAAAATGCCCTGCCCATTCCCTTTACTCTCATGCATTTATAATGTTTCTGCATTATGTTTCCCAGAGTGAGGAGCAAGGATCCTTGTGGTTTTCAGGGGCTGGTCCAGGGCCCTGTAATATTTCTGGGAAATAATTAAATTGGGCCAGAGTGGGACTAGGGAGGGAAAAGGAAGACACTCAGCAGGGTTCATAGCTGGAGCAGTCAGCAGTGTTGAGCCCAGCAGGCTCAAAGAAGGAGCTGGAAAGCAAGCAGGAAAAGAGTGAGGAAGGGCCAGTGGAGGGAAAGGAGGGAGACTCAAAAAGAAACAGCAGCATATGCACTGAGTTGGAAGTAGGGCAGGGCCAGGCAAGTGTGGGCACCTTCCAGATGTCATATTCTGTCGCCTACACTCTGAGAATGTGACTCTCAGCCCCTCATGTGAGGATTCGCACACAAAAAGAACTTGTGTCAGGCAGGTGACTAAAAGAGGAAACATTTGCATGCGGGAGAGGGATAGAATCTTGGTGCAATATTTTAAGATTTAAAAAAAGCAAGTGAGAGAACAAATGCAAATGTGCTTCAAGGTCTTCAGAAGCAATGAGGCATAAAATTTAAGGAGTGCTATGTGTGCTGATTCCAAATGTCCTACAAGTGACTACAGTTCCTGTGAATCTGGGGGGTAGGAGGGGGGAAGGGGCAAGGAAAGTTCTAGAATAGCATGTGGCAAACAGCACAAGGACTAGGTCTCAGAGGTCTGACTGCTGCCATTTCACTCTGTGACCCTGAGCACTTTGCTTAGCCTCTGAGCCTCAGTTTCTTAATTTATGAAATAAGGGGATTAGACTAGGTAACCTTCAAGATCCTGTGATGCTGGGAGAAGTATTAGAAAATTCATAGGAATGGAGGTACTGCAACCCTGAGACCCTCCCAGGGAGAATGAAAGGTATAGGACCCTCCTATCTCACTCTCCTCACCCCAAGAGGAGAGTTCTCAGACCTTTCTTCTGGGCCCATTCAAAAGGGGAAACAAATTTATATGAGTCCTAGTTCAAGGACTTTAAATAGATTACTTTTCTAATTGCTCTAAAGGAGCTCAAAGGAGAGGGCTGAGACACCGGGAGCTGTTATTTAATAATAATCTAACAAAATTCCATAGGAAAGGGACCTTATCATATACAGAGTCCATTTCTCAGCCCTCTGAATGCATCTATCATATTTTGAAAGATTTCCAGAGTGATCTTTTGGGATAACCTTTTTATGGCTGCTTTTGTGTGTGTGTGTGTGTGTATGTGTATTTTTTAATTTTGTATAACGGTTGGTGAAGGATAGTACAAATACACTTTTTAATACAAACTTGGGATGTCTTCAGAGTTGTTTCTCACTAGAGAGTGTATATATGCAGCAAGTCTGCGGTCTGCTGGCATCTCCAGGGTTACAAGACCCCCTCTAACTGTGCGGTGGTCTGCAGGGGAGGGCACATTCCGCCTCCTGCGCTCGTTCACGTGGAGTGTTCTGGGTGAACCTCGGGCTGCGCTTACATCACCCTGTACTTACCCTGCTGTGGGTTTCCCCGAGTCACCGCTGCACAAGGTTAAAAAGAGGAAATTAAACCTTTCTCAGCAGTCTTGTGAGAGAAACGAGTTATTGCCAAATAAATGACTTGATTTTGTGTTGTTCTCTATCCCTGGGGGGAAGGGAGTCAAAAAGACCCTCTCAAGCTGGATTTGCTAATGGAGTGCTTTAAAATCATTTTATATGTGGGGAGAGAGGATTATAGAGGCCGTGCTGTTTCACTGGAGAACGCCTGGGGAATACTGAATGGTGTAAAGAAAAACCACCACCCACTAGTCCACTACCCAGACACAGCCTCTGGGTTGGCATTGTCGTGTATTGATTTAATTTGTAGGCTCCTTTCAAAGCCTGCACTTGATGTTGGCGGGAGCGGCCCCCAAATCGGGACACTGTGCACACAGTTTTGCCACCTGTTTCGCAATCGGTGTTTTCCACTCGCGGAGGGAGGAGCAAGACCACCTTCCTCCTCAGCGTCGCCCTCTGCCAAGACCGCAACACTGGCCTCTCCAGCAGGGCGCGCGGAGGCGCAGGAGGACCCCGGCCGGGGGGC